GTAACGAGCCAATTTTTTAAAATGTAAGGAGTAGAAAGTGCAGATATTTGTGTAAAAGAGGAAAGAAGTAGAAGTAAAACGTCGCCATAAAAATAAGTAGTAAAGTAAAGTAAAAATATCAGAAAAATCTACTTGAGTACAGTAACAAAGTATTTGTACTTCGTTACTTCCCATCTCTGATGAATATTAACTGTTAACTTGTTTCAAAGAATATCAAATAATGGTTTAACAGCTACTGAGTCTGACATTTGCATTACATTTCCCAGGCTACAAAATAACCAGTCTCGGCCTTAAAAACAATTCTTAAGTTTCTTTAAAGAATTAGTATTAGTATCTGTAAAGCCCATATGATGAGGTCATGGTTTTTGTAAGATTCTGATAGGTTAGTTTGCAACATCTGATGTATTTGGAAGCGCACGCATCAATGTATTCTGAGGCTACCACTCCTCGCATCCTTGTGTAATGGCACAGAAAAATTATTTAGCTAAAATAACAGGAGGAGAATTGTGGACCTCCATAAATCTGCTTCATGCACTGGATGCAGTGATTCAGTTCCCTTAAGGTACCGGGTTCATCTGCTCAAACATCCATCCATGCTTTTTCTGTCACTCTTTATCCCTGCTGGTGTCGCAAGGGGCGCTGGTGCCTATCTCCAGCTGTCTACTTGTGAGAGGCGGGGTACACACTGGACAGGTCACCAGTCTATCGCAGGGCAAGACAAACAGGAAAAACAACCATTCACACGCACACTCACACCTAAAGGAAATTTAGAGACTCCAATTAACCTAACAGTAATGTTTTTGGACTGTTGGGGGGGAGCCGGAGAACCTGGAGAGAACCGGGTCAAAGGGAGAACATGCTAACTCAATGCAGCGAGACCCCAGGCTGGGAAACGGAACTTTCTTGCTGCAAGGCAGCAGTGCTACCCACTGTGCCACTGAGCACCCTGCTCAAAAAATTTACTACAAATATAAGCCTCATGTGAACAACCAGTCCTCCTGCAGATAGGGCGGTGAGTTCTTTTTCCCATAAATGTGTTTTATTGTGAAACGTGATTATCAGCCACAGAATAAAGGCAATATACCTTGTGAAGAAGCTGACTAAAGGCAGGGTGAAGCTAGTAACAATACCATCATCTACCAATAAACAAGTCTGGTATCAAAACAGGAACTTTAACAAAGGAAGTTACATTATTTATACTGAGGAAGAGACTTTAATTTTTGGAGATGTGCCTTTTGGTCTAATAAAACTAAAAGGATGTTTGCTCACCATGACCGTAATAACACATGAGGGAGGAAGGGGGAAGCTTTGAAGACTAAGTCTTTCCTGCACTGAAGTACAGAGGTGGTAGAATCATATTCTTTTGGCTCTTTTTGAATTTTTCTTTTGGTCTATTTCACCACATATAGGATGCATAATAAGGATACATGTAAAAGAAAGTTCACATGAAAACACTGCACTAACATCTAAACACATCAACATATTATGCACCAATATTCTTTAATTAGTTATAAACTGTCTTGACAAAAAGTGGATGACAGTAGGTTGTGAAACATTTGTTGGTTAAATATATATATATATATATATATATATATATATATATATATATATATATATATATATAATTTTTTTTTCTTTTTTTATTTGATGCAAACCTGTTTATCTAGAATTATGAGCAGGTAGCCCAAGGCAAAAATAAGCTTCAGAAACAGAGCAACAGAAAAATGCCTCTCAAGAAAAACCCTGAGGGTAGAGTGAGCTCAGTACAGGGTGTTCCAACTGAGCAAAAAGTTTTGTGCTATGATGTTTTTGTACCTTAGATTCAGACGATGTGTTGTTGTCATTGGAGGAGGCCTCCTGCAGCATGGAGCTAAATTCTTTGGATAGCTCATCTGCTACTGCAAGTGAGGCATTCAGGTCATTGTCTATGGCCTGGACTGAAAAGGAGCCAGATGAATAAACAATCAATTAGTGCAGGAAATCACAACAATGTACACAAACACACAACTGAGTCCAAAGGGCAAATTAAATGGTTTTATAGAAACTCACACAAAAAGTTCCCGAAACTCGTCTGTGAGCTCATGGCTGTGAGGCAGCACGGCTCTCCTTCTGAAAAAACAAAAAAACAAAACACACAACAACACATGAGTTAGTCACGTATCTCAGTCGCATAAGCATATTTTAACCATCAAATGTCATTGAGCATTTACTGCTATTTTAATTTCCTGCAGAGGAAAAATAACAGTTTGCACCTCTAAAGAGACTTTCTTTCAGTTAGTCTTTTATTCTTTCATTGACAATACCAATTCATCTTGCTTCATCTTTTAATTACAGTGTTCAGCCCTTCCCTTTCTTATCTACTGTACACTCCCAGATCTGTCACCTCCTGCAGCCTCTAAGCTAATATAACCCAAACGCCCACAGTAGACGTTGCAATTTTTGAGTGAAAAAAACAAGACAGGACAATATGGTGGTAGCTGGTTTCACTGGTCTGTTTATCTTCCTGACTCATAGTTTAGTCAGTGGTGCAGATGTCGCAGCAAAACCTCAGGCATTACTGGGCTGTCTAATAGTCAGCTCTAGACAGGTGGAGGATGCAGCTCATCGTGCAGATGACAACTAAATATCACAGATGCTCTAATCTGATGCAAGATGTGAGTCTGTCTAGACTGACTTGGAGCAAAAAACACTATAGGTATTTATCTACATAAATTATTTATGTGGATAACAAACATATTTTGTTCTATATAGAAAAAATGAGAGGCATGAATATGCAGTTTTACATATTCATATTAGAACAATATCATGATGGCTTACAGCACCGAGTCTTTTCTACGACTTTGAGACACTCTTGCTAATTGTTTACTAAAACATAACAAATCAACAATCATATGACAGCAATTCCATTTCATTTAGATGAATGGCTAATGTTCAAACATGGCATAAGAAAGCTAAAAAAAGAACATTTAAGAGACATCAATGTGTATGGTTTTAGTATTCCAGAGGGATTTTCAAGCGCAAACATATTACGTCTTTGGTGAAAACGCTCTATTGAGGTAGGAGAACAAAAGACAACAGGGAGATTGTTTAAAGATCATAGACAGGGCAGCTTTGCCTCTAATAACCCTTCATTATGACTTAGATATGTAAAACACCACCGTTGGGGATGAGTACCATGTTAAACCTTTAAAAAGATGGGCTAGGCTCACTCCTTTCTGCCAACAACAGTAAGATGAGACTGCAATTTGGAGGATTACCAAAAGCAAACGGATAAAAAAGAAAAATAATGACAAGGTTGATTTGTGGAACCTTTGATTTCAGTTGCAAATTTTAAACAGATGGGCCAAAACTTGGTGCAGACATCACAAGGACATAGATCAAGGTTGCTCAGTTCATTTTCTTGATGCACCTTTTAGACGTTTCGAGTCATTAGCAGGACTTAAGAGAACTTGACTACACTCTGCGGAGGTAATCCAGGAGTGTAGAAGCAAAGATACACCTAAAAAGGTGCAGGAGACTGGACCTCGAGGACCAGAAAAGAGGAACCCTGTCAAACCTCCTGTTCAGGCTGGTAGCGAGGGGTATTTTCTTCTCACATGCTGGGCCTCTTAATGCCAACCAAGCATTATCTAAATGCCACAGCCTACTTGACTGCTGTTGCCCAGCATCGTGCCCATCCCTTTCAGACTACAGTGCAGTCATCTTCTAAAGGCCACTCCAACCATGATAATGCTCTGTCACAAAGCTTTGATTATTTCAAAATGGTTTCTATAACATGACAATGAGTTCACAGGACATATCCTACCCTTACTCACCCCATGACAAAACGCTGAGCTCAGCCTGATCTATGAATAATTCAGGCATTAAAACACTAGAAAAAGGATCAGCCAGTGTTTTGCTAAGCTCTGCACGATTATTGGCACTCCTGTATGATCAACACCTTCATTAAACGGAATGTTTTCCCATCTTTTCTTTATTAAGGAGTAACTTAAGAGAGATGTGCTTCTGCGTCATGTAGTATTTATAGTCCCAGTCAAGTCATTATTTAAAGATAACTAAAGACCTTAGCAACTTTATAAAGTATTGTAAAAAGTGCTTCCAATGAATTATAGTATGCATCCTGTTTTAATCATTTAGGCAAACGTTGTGGTAGGTCTGAGTCTCTTGCATGGTGAGAGGGAAATTTTCCCAACAAAAAAGGAAGAGATGAGATATTTGACCTTTTATTGAATTAATGTCACAACAGAATATCTATTATAAAGGGATTTTGGTAGCGGCATCAAATTTAGAGGGGTAAGTAACAGAAACTTTAACCATCCAGCCTATCACTGAGACCTTGTTTGTTCCCATAGGTTGTGTTTAATCTAAAAATACCGCAGAAAACACCAAACATTTGCACATGTCATTTAAATCAATAGTTTGGCGCAAACAATAGCTGTTAGATGAAGACTTGTAGTTTTGCAGGATTAAAAATGAACAAAAAAGAAAAACAGCAACAAGAACGAAAAAGAGTCTACTAGAAAACCAGCTATAAACAGCAGTTCACTGTGTGTGGAAGCTACACCCTCTACATTTTTGGAGTGTGGGAAGGACTCACTATGCCTCCGTCGGGCCTGTTTGCAGACTAACATTCCACATCTCTCCTCCCTATGAGGCACTTTCCTAAAATCCAGCCTCCAACTGTTATCTCTTTCAGGGACAGCTCATGCAGTAAGACTCTCACTGACAAACAAAGGTCAGCCTTGAACGCCTCCCTGCAAATCATTCACTGAACCTTTCACCTGCTTGCTAAACAGTCGCCGTTTGTATTACTTGAACACAGCTAGTCTGCACTAAAACACCACTTTTTGTAAATCTACTAAATCATGTTCAGCTTCTATATGCGTTCAAATTAAGTCTAAACTCACAGAAATATATGTAAGACTTTTGTTTCTGAACCATCTTCTGTTACATTATGGGTTGCCTCCACTGGTATTTTGGGGTTATGATGACACGACACCTTGCTCTCTATCCGTTCTATTCTAATTCTTGGGAATCTGTGTTGTACCATTGTGCAACATGTTATTATGTCTGATTAAAGCAAAACAAAAAGAACAGCTTGTTTTTCAGTTCCTGCTAGGGATTCATAACGACACACACAGGGAAGTCTGAACATATCATTCAGAGCCACCAGTCCTGCAATGAAGTCTTTTAATTTTGGACTGCCACAGAATTTCAATGTCTGGAAATGAAAACCTCATAATGGGCTTTCTTCTCTGTTCCTTTTCTGTAATTAAATTTCAATATCGTTTGGCTTTATAGGTCTAACTCATGACAAATGAGTGGGGAAGCCAAGAGGAAAACCACAAGATGAAAACATAGATTAGTTCTGACTCGGAAAAAACCTCTGAGAAAAACCTTGGAACTTTTGCATTTGTATAAAGATACTTTTTCAATGTATAAGGAAAACTCTGGAAAGCAAAATTAAATATATAAAAATATGAATAACGAATTACTGTAAGGGTGTGTGTGACAACTTTGCACGTAGTACCTTATCTTTCCTATTCTCTTCCTAATCCAAAAATTCCTGAACCCACCTTCATGTGAAACCTTATTTCCCCTCCAGGCATTCATTCATTTCCTCAATGTCCTGCTTCTCTGTTTAGTGCCTCCTGTAAAGCCTTTCTCCTGACCTCTCTGCCATTGTCACAGCAGAAATGTTAACAGATAAGGGAGGATGAAAGGAAACTCTGATTCTAACTTTGTGTTTCTTCCATTTTTGTATTCAATCTACACTAAACCTGCAGAGGATCACTAAAATGCAACAAACTAGAAGAATCACACTACATGTCTAAATGTCCTTGACTTAGCTGGCAATAACATAATGCTTGGTATGTAATTAAATCTGAACAGCTTTCACACAGGCTGAGAGGATATAAAATACAAGTTAGGTCAATGCAAGAATGAGAACATCTGATGTAATGTTTACACAGCCTTAAGGTTCTTCCTAACAGTAGTCCTACTGACTGAACAGCTTTATAGTTTAGCACATTTTAAAACAAAACTTAAATGCCTACTTTGTTTTTTATGTGAACGATCAACAAAAATACATGAATACCCATAAAGTAAAAGGGTGGTGTTTTTGAGAAATAAATGAAAATCTTAATATTTTGGTGCATATTACTATAATCAGCCTCTTTATTAACACCTTTAGTGTTGTGTTCGTATCAACTTGGCATATCTGGAGACAGAAATTTTGTCTATCTAGCTTTGCAAGCTAGTTAATACCTTAATCACAATGGATGAAAACATGTGGGACATTCAATTCAGTTTATCTATATAACACCAATTCACCACAGATGTCATCTCAAGGCACTTCACAATTCAAACAGATCATACAGCCAGATTAATTCAAAGTTTTCTATCTAAGGAAAACCATTTGATTGCATCGACTCATTGACTGGATGGCAATCCCTAACACCAGGCATTCTTGTAGCGACAGTAGAGAGGAAAAACTCCCTTTTAAAGGGAAGAAACCTCCAGCAGAACCAGGCTTAGGGTGAGCGTTCATCTGCCGAGGCGGACTGGGGTTTAAGGAGACAGAAGCAGACATAGAAACTATCATCCAACTCCACAGACATATCAGACCAGGAAACACCCAGCCAGGCAGACGAGCTCCAAGCCAATTCCCATGTCAGAGGATGAAAGAGAGCACATACAGTTAGTCACAGAAACAGGCGAATCTCCAGCATCTATAAAAAAAAAAAAGGTGTTGATGGCAGCAGCACAGCTGATATTTCTCAACACATCAGTATTTAAGCACTGCCACAGACTCTTAATTGGGTATAAGCTATTACTTTGACAGGAAGAAGTAAATGTTTCCATTAGCCTGCTCAGTGGAGCAGTTATTAGCTCTGCTGCCTTGCAGGAAGAAAGCCCTGGGTTTGAATCTGAGCGACAGGTTTTGAGCGCATCTTCTCTCTTTTATTTGCAAGAGTACATCAGTGAGTACATAAACCATCATCCCTCCTCTCTTGTTGAAACTTTCCATGAATTTGTGGAGTGGACGGGATATGTTTGAACGGTCGCTTTCTCTGAAAAGTCTGCTGTCTTTTTACAGCTATCAAATATACCAGCTTGACTCCATCAACAATTTAAGGGACTGCTTATGGAAATTAGTTGCACTAAATTGCGTCTTTACTTATCCGAGTAAAGAGTGGTAAATAACGCCACATGTTTTCCTCCCTCTTCACAAACATGCACAACTTTTTGTTGGACTTTCAAATAAAAATCAAACAAAATAAACTGGAGGTTTGTAGCTGAAATCAAAGTAGTATGAATTACCTCTGCTTTATGTTAGGGTATAAAAATATTCCTTTATGGGCTAAAATTAGAGTATTACTGATAAAATTACAAGCAAACAATTAACGTTTCTTAAGAATTAATCCTTCTTTCAGACAAGTATGTCCACCTCACCAGCTCCTCAGAAGCACACAAAAGATCTCCACCCAAATTCCTTTTTATACCTTTAATAACTCGACCTACTTAGCCATAGAAATTCTCACACAGATCATATTCATGACTACAAACCTGATTTCAAAAGCTTTCAAACAATAGAGGTGGAGTGATCCTCTCAAGCTATGAATAAAAAAAAACGAAATCTATAAACACAAGCAAACATAAACTATGGAAGTGATTTAGTTGTTTGGTATGATGTCAAAACGTTCATGGCTCCTCTATGTTGGCTCCTCTGACAGGTCACATTTTTTGCCACTTTTCCCATCTCACCTCTTGGGTCTGTTAAGAACAGCATGTGACTCTGGAGGAATCTCGCAGCTCTCAACAACATAATGACATCGTTATGAGTCAATCTGCCATGTATGCCGCTTGCAGTGTGTCATTCACAAGCTGTGGTAGGAAAAGCGTTGCCCTTTTAATTCCAAGAAAACGCCAATATCTGCCAGCTTGCATGTTTGCACATGCATGAACTTAATGGCAATGGTTGTGATAGCGGCTGTTTTTTTTTAATGTGATTTGTTTACCAGCAGGTTGCAACAAGTGCTTCACAATGCAGCCCAGCTGGTTCTTGGCAACTAGGCGATTTCAAAGGAAGATGTTGGAAAACTTCCATTTAAATCCTGCTCTGACAGGAATGTTTAGGGGATTTCAAGCAGACCAAAAAAAATATTTAATAAATAACACACATAAAAGCCACATTAGAAACTGCAAAAGTTAAAAAAAAAAAGTTAAAAAGAAAAAAATACAGAAACACACACACACAAAAAAAAATTAAATCTTAAAAAAAAAGAAAAGGGAAAAAATGCACAAATCAGTAGCTGCTCCAGGGCTGCGAGTCTCATTATTTCTGTCTGAGCCTGTATTAATTTTTCATTTTTTTTTTTTTTTTGGTTTAAAACTGAGAAATAGTTGCCTGTGTTTGTAAAATCCGATTCCCATGAAGGATCAAGCTCCTCCTAACGAACAAGAACCCTCACAAAGAGTGAGAAAACCATTAAGAAGTAAAAAGATTACATAAGAAACACCAAACAGTTATGCTGAAAAGAGAACTACATAAAAGACCCAATCGATTAAAGAGGGATCATGTTTCCTTATTTAAGTATTGTTTGCGCAGATGTGTGTGGTTTTCATTCGCTGCGTAAGAAAGTGAAATGCGTTCCTACCTTAAAGCTCCAGAAAGAAACGCTCCTTTTCTTTTGTTCCAGTCTCTGAGGAAATCTGAGCTCCGTCCAAAGCTTCGCGTCTTCCTGAAATAGGCTCGTTCAGCCTTTAATCGCTCCTCGCTGTAGAGGCTCCAGACATGCAGTCATTGCTGCGCACAGACTGGAGTTGTTTAGGCGCAGAGTCCAACCCCCTCTGCTGGCCTCTGGTGCGCCTCAGTAACCGGATCCAGGTGTTCCTGTCGCAGCTGGCCCAGGTGAGGCTGCCTGGCTTTCATTGGTGCTTTCTATCATCATCGATACTTCCCTTCTGGAAACCTTTGCATAACTGTTTAACTGTAATTCATAAAAAAACATTGCACTGCCTCAACTCTCTGTAGAGCTACTGGACAACATATTTTTTCATAGATAAACATTTTGCAAAAACACTGATCAAAGTGAAAGATTATGGTAATATTCCAAAGATACATTTGAAGTTGGATTTCGTAATTTAAACTTGTTTGCAGTTGGGAATTAGATTAGATTGTTTATATAGTAATCATTCCCAACACACGTCATCTTTCTTGTACAGAAGAGGATTAGGGCCACTGAAAAAATAAAATAATAAAAAAGTTAATTGATTTTTAAATATTATTTCAGTACGGAAAAAGTCAGAATTCTGACTTTAATCTCAGAATTCAGACTTTTTTTCCTCAGAATTCTGACTTTTTTTCTCAGAATTCCAACTTTAATCTCAGAATTCTGATTTTAATTTCAGAATTCTTCTGACTTTAATCGCAGAATTCTGATTTTTAATCTCAGAATTCTGACAGTTAACAAACATGTTAGCATCAAGCCGTATGTATTTGTTTTCTTTCACATTGTTGCAATTTTTGATGGATGGATGGATGGATGGATGGATGGATGGATGGATGGATGGATGGATGGATGGATGGATGGATGGATGAAGACACTTGCTTAGGTTGTCAAATGCAGAGTCAAAATTAGGTATTTAAAAGCCAAGTATTCTGAGAAAATGGTGGCAACAGGGCATCAGATACTTTTTAAAAGCCCTTAAAAGGAAGTGATTAAACAAAGTAGAGATGTCCTCACATGATTGAGAAAGTGAACAAGCAGAAACATTTTTTTCCTCTCTGACTCATTTGATCTTTGGCAGTCCTTTTCCTGTCACTGCTTACTCAGGGCCAAAGGTTAAAGTTTTATGTTATGCTCATGTGATAAAATGAAACTAATGGCTTTAGTAATTTTGTGTATCTTAAGAAATTAGACAATAAAGCAATGCTCAGTGTGTCCACAAATAGCAGCCTAAGTGAGATATATCAGGGTAACCTCAGACGTTCAAACTGAAAGCTTTAACAGAAGGAGAGCTTTAATGTTAGTCTTAAGAGAGACAACAACTGGGAGCAGGTTTGCAGAAGAGGATCGTGATAACTAAATAATGTGCCCTACCCTCGACCTAGTCACTTCTAAAAGTTAAATTAACCCTAAATACCTGAATTAATACTCAGTTAAACAAACACTTTCATCATTTATCCCTTGTATTTTTTTTATTAATTTAATTTATCTCAAAAATCATTATGTTAGCTATTCATGAACTTTGCCTTGCTCATACAAAATGTTAAGTCAAAACATATGTTTTTGAATAAACATGACAGTTTTTTATCCTAGCATTTCAAATTGACCTTATTTGTGGGGAGTTAACTCACTGCTAAGTCCCATGAGCTGCTGGACCTTTCTTTGCACTAAGAAAACAGTGTTAGAAATTAAACTGTGTTAGAAATTGATCTACTTCATGTGTCATTTTTGGTTATTTATTGTAATCATTGTGCTTTGATTACTAATGTTTTCAAATTCAGTTCGGTAATGAAAAATCACTTTGCTGCACTTTCCCATCAGCAGACCAACCTCATTTTTTGTATTAATGAATCAATGTTAGAAAAATAAAAAAACATTTATTTTTTGACAACCATTGCTTTTCTGTCCCTTGGTGTTTCTAATTCAGTAAAATATTGAAAAATCTCTTTACTGATGTAATCTAAAGAGCTTCTATCTCTACATTTTACCACCCAATACAGAATCTCTCTTATTTTATGTAATTCATGTGAAAGAGGGATGTCTTAGAAACCACTTAAATGTGGTTGATGAAACCTAGGTTACACTGTAGGGAAGGTTCTGCTATTTTTCCATTTGGGGTTTGCTTCATTTACTTATGTTCCCAAAATGCCAGGTGTTTTTTTTTTTTTTTTTTTAGTTTTATTTTCACCTGTATCTTTTAGTGTTGCCTTTAAATCATGCGTTGTTTTCTATCTGTTTTTAATTCTGTATTATTAGACAGGTTCTGCTAGCTTCTTCTATGTGTTTTCCCCCAGATGTCCCTGTTAATTATTTCCCTCAGCCAGAGCCATTAGATATTAACTGTGTCTCCTTAGTTGGTCTTTTGTTTGCACCTGTTCTCCATGTTATTTAAGCCCTTGACTGTCTCTTGTTTGTCACTGGGTGCTTTCTTTGTGTATCTGTTCTGTAACTGTATCGTTATTTTCATTAAATCCTTGAGTCAGTGTTTGTTGGCAAACCTTTGTGATGAAAATGTTAATATTTATTATTTCATATGAAAATGTCCTGCAGTGTCACAGTTCTACCACTTGATGGCCCTGGTTCGTTTATAACTTTTGACATACACTCACCGGCCACTTTATTAGGTACCCCATGCTAGTAACGGGTTG